TGCAGAGCAGACAGGCAAAGCAGCCACAGACCCCAGAGAAACACCATATTTCTGGAACAGAAGGACCAGCCGAGAGAGAAGTTATTTCCAGCTGCCTGGCAGCAGCAAGCTGAGCCTATTCAGGTCTGCAGGGAGAAAATTATCAACCTGGCCAAACAGGTTGGCACAGGAGCTTGCAGAAAGCAATAGGGAGATGAACAATGCTGCAAAGAAACGACACAGGACTCCTGGGTCCAACACCAAGGCAGCGAAATCAGAGAGGAACAGGGACCCACGCCAGAGCAGAGCTGTAACCACAGCCAGGCTCCTACATGACGCTCCTCTGCTTGGATCCTGCATTTCTGACCCCATTGCCCTGATTTCTCTGGTTTGCAAATGGTACTTCCCTAATCAGTCCTGCACACACTGTGCCTCTGGAAGAAGACAAGAGCCTCTGCTCCTTTCCTGTGCAAACTACTGAAGTATGGGCACAGCATCCCCAGCTGCGCCCCGGGCTCTTGGGAGAAAGGATACTAACCTGCCTCCGTGGGGCTGCAGGCACTCAGCAAGTGCTGTCTGGGAGGGGTATTGCAGGTAGAAAAATGCAATACCAGAGCAGTTTCTCGGCAATATGTCCTGGAATCGAGAGTCCTCCCCTTCCCAGCACTCGCCTTCCCCCTTTGCTGGCAAACCCAGCCTCTCCCACCCCCACACTTCGGTTCCTGTAGGGGGACAGTGGGAGCAGGGTTTCCAGGGCCATGGATAAAACCCCACCCATTCCCTGGCCACCGCTTCACCCAGCCACTTTTCCCTTTCAAACAGAAATAACATCTTCTTAACATAAAGCCAAATCACAGCCCTCAGCACGGCTGCCATACACTTAATGCCTCGGGCTGCTTTCCACTGTCCTCCTAGTCCTCGCTTTCACCCAAAACTGCTGGGCTGCGGCCCCAGTTGCCAAGTGGAAGAAGCAAAACTTGAGGCCACTTCATTCCCGCCTCCTCCTTCACCCCAAATTCTGCAGCCACATAGAACCCTGAATACCCCTTTCCTCCCTGGGGGTGCCTATCCTTTAACCCTCTGCCAAATCCACCCCCCCTTTCCCAGACAGACGCTATTGCTTATTGCAGGAGCCCCCAATTACTGTCAAATCCTCGTTTATTTGCCCCTTACCTGAGGTTGTTCGTCTCCACGTTGGAGCTGGCACCTGCTTTAGCCTGGCCGATAGCTCTGCGCAGGGCAAACGTGCTCTCTCGTCCCGCTCACTCCTACCCGCTGGCAGCGACCTTCGGCACCACCCCGTTGGAGAATTTGGCAGGCAAATATTGACCTACAGCATCCGGTTAAACATTTGTTGGGGGCATAAGAGTGAATTTGTGGTGCATTTGGAGGTGGGGAGACACTTTGGGCTGCTGTACCCTCAAGACAATGTTAACACTGAGCTTAGGAGCTCCGAAACTCCCGTCAGCAGCAGTAGCACACGCAGGCAGTTGTCCCCAGCAGCGGCTCTGCTTTCCTGTGCTGGGAACACGCTCTTTTATTCATAACCTTTACTGAAAACGTAGGGCTTGGTATTTATTGCCACAGGGCTCGCTTTGGTTTTGGAATTTTCTTTGCAGCAAACCCCAGATTATTTACCCCGCTTATCCCAGCTGCTTCTGCTGCAGCAAGCGTGAGGCACCGGTTTTAACAGATGGCTGGTGCCCAAGGGCCCACGGCCACGTACCCAGGCGGGAGGCAGCAATGCTCAGGCTGGGCTGAGCCAAGAGCAGCTGGTACCTCCCCCCAGGGCACAGCACACACCAGAGCTCTGCCAGGGGAGTTGGCCCCGGTGCCGGGCTCCGTGGCAGGCATGCACCGCTGTGGCACGGAGGAAGAGTCTCAGGAACGGGCAGAACTCCAGCGGTCCTGTCCTGTGTGGGTTTGTGGCGCATGCTGAAGCAATGGTGATCCTTCCCGGCTCTGCCCACACCCTCAGTGGGAGAGGAGTCACTCAGGAGCACTGGGAGCGCTAACGGGATTGCGGTGCTTGCAGTCATCCGTTCCTTGCAGCAGCTCTTGGATCCCAAACTCACCCCAGACACTGGGAAGGAGTGGAAAGGAGACAGGTCTGAGCTCTGCAACCAGAAACTACTTTGGGACTTGCCGCTGGAACATGGGGAGCTACTTCCCCTTGGTAAGCAGATCCAAGTCTCTGTGCAGCAGAGTCCTACCTTACATCCAGGGCATCTTCACAGCATCCCTCCTCCAGCTCACCCAGGAACACACGAGGTGCTCGAACGCAGAGCTGCAGCTTTGGCTGCCGGAGCTGGAGAGCAGCAGCCAGCACACCCAGCCCTGTGCCGCTCCGCACCTGGGCCCCTCCAGCACAGAACTTCCCCACACACCCGTCTCTGCATCTCTTTCAAAGAGTTTATTAGAAGTAAATATTTACATCTATTGCAAATGGTTAATAGGCAACACGGGACTGAGAGCTCCCCTTGGGTAGGGAAGGACAGCAAGGGCCAACTGCTCACCTCCCCACCCTCCCTGGAAGCGGAGGGCAGCCTTCCCAACTGCAGGCGGCTCAGATGAACCAGCAGCTGGATGAAAGCCCTTTCCCCGCCCAGACCAACCCACAGCAGGTTCCTCCTCTGCCCAAGATAACCGCTTCCCACTCTCCTGATACTGGTTCTGACTAGGCTGAAGGATGGATGGGAAAAGGGCTGCAATAGAAGTGAGGCAACTGCTCCTACTGCTGGGTCAAAGAGAACTCCCCTCGCCTTTGGGGTGGGAACAGACGGTGCTGTCCCAAAGGCAAGGTCAGAAGGAGACCATGCTGGATCGTGCCTCCTGGCTCTCACCCTACAAGGGCAAGAGGGGACAAAACTGAGCACCTTTTTGCTGTCCTGTCTTCCCCAGGAGTCTGAACCAGCACAAAGGAGAGAATTAGGAGGAGGATTCCTTGAGGAAACACTGCCAGTGCGTGGCACACAGGGCATTCCTCATCCCTTAGATAATCACAGGATGCAGTGCTGCTGGGGCAGGAACCAACAACAGTCCATCCCTACCCTACCGCTCCAGAAGCCAAAAGCTTCATGGAAGCATCTAGTTCTGGCCTCCCTAGAAGGTCATGTTCCCATCCCAAACTATCCCTCTGCAGCAGCCCGCTCCTAAATGAACTGGCGGAGCAGATGGGGTTTGTGCCTTGGCTGACTTCCATTCCACTCTTTGCCCTGGAGCCAGCAAGGCAGCAGAAATGCTCTAGTTAACCTCTCCTCCTCCCATACGGGCTCTCACTCAGCCAGCAGAACCTAAAGTTCATCCTCTGGGCTGTGAACGCAGACCACAGGAGGAGGAGATGCCTGGCACCACACAGCTCCGGAGGCAGCAGTTCCCAGGCCCAGCTTATGCTATCCCAGTAAGACTGTTCAGTGGTTCGGGAGTGGAAGTGAAGGGTAAGTGCAGACGGCAGTAGCTACACTGTTGTGTTCTTGTCAAGGGGCACCTTGTACCCCTTAACTGAAGGGGGGAGGATACCTGTGGTCCGTAGTACTCTAGAGGGCAGCTCACAGTCCCCTGGGGATCAGGCACACACGGTACGGAAAGCTCCAGGCCTCTCTGCAGGGGTGACAGTGACCTACAATGCCCAGTATTTCTCCCAGCAGCAGTGGAGGTTTCTCAGGTATGGCTTTTTTCTTTTTAAAGATACAGAAAGAGGTTAGAGATGCTTTACCGAGCGCTCACTAACAAGTACATCTCCCCCCTCCATCCTCTGTTCAGAAACATCTCACTCCGCCTCCTCTTAAGCGACACTGCTGGCTTTCAGCCCTACCACCGGCGCTGTGGGACACCCACAAGCTCCTGGGCCGAAGGTCACTATGCCAGGAGGCGGACGACGCCGTTGTCCGAGCCCAGCAGGAGATGGCATTTCGTGGGCAGCACCGCCAGGCTGGTCAGCGTACCCCGAAAATTCTCCGAGCTCAGCTTGGTTGTGCTGATGGGCAGGGCTGAGGACTCCAGCATGGAGTAGACACCAATCTTGTTGGCCACAGTGCCAGTGACCGCTTCATTGCCGTAGAGGTCAAACGTGTGGATGGGTTCAGATGCAGATTTGTAGTGGTGCAAAGGTTTCTGCTCTAGTTCCTTCCAGACCGTCAGGGAATGATCCGAAGAGGAGCTGATTAGCACATTGCCCTCTGCAGCCTGCAGGAGAGGAAAGGCCAGTGAACCAGCGCTGCTGCTGTAAAAACTCCCCAGCTCGTCCTGCAAATGAGATCACCAGTAGTCCCAGTGCAATCCCCTGGGACAGTCCCAGCCATTTCCAAGCCACTGATGGTACTGAGCAGCATTAACAAGGCATCCGGGTGGACACTGGAAGCTACAGGACTCCGGTAGCTGGCAACCTCCTATAGCGCTATCCTCAAGAGATGGACTGTGTCTCAACAACATCCTGATACTCAGCACAACTAATTTATCATCTGATACTACTGCAGTGGGTAAAGAGATTATCGTGTGGTCTCCCTCTCCCTCAAGCCACCTGTCAAATTATTTTCCTTCTCAGGAAAAGGAATTGAGAGAATCTCTCATGGTAGAAAACACTGCTGAGGGTAGGAGAAGCCTGGAGCTGCTTATTAGCAGAGCTAGTGAGAGGGTAAACAACTCATATGGCTGAACTTTGTTTAACCTGCGTTTGGGTCGAGGACACTGGAGCCCCAGTGCTGCTCCCTGAGGACGGGTAAATATGGACAGGAGTTACTCATTAGAGCGACTCTCTCCCAGCAGGACTGAGCCCTGCAGAGAAAGCAACACATTCGCTTCTTCACGGGAGACGTGTCTCCTCCCTGCCCCTGCTGCAGACCTGCTCACCAGGGACTGACACCTCGTCTCTGCTCAGCACAGGCTGGACCAAGAACAGCTGCCTGCAGCGCTAACCATGGGACAGGAGAGCCTGAGCAGCCTCTCAGGGACACGGCAAGGGATGGAGGAACGCCCAGAGGATGGAGCAGACAAGCCCTGGCAAGCAGCACGTGTCAGAAGGACGCTCCACGCAACCTCAGTGGCTCAGTGAGGCCCACAAAGCAGCCCCTCACCCTGATGCCAGCTGGACCCCTCACCTTGATCTGCAGGATGTCTCCCTCATGGGCAGGCCACCCCCGCATGATGAGTCCTGTCCTGGTGTCCAGCAGCACAATGAAACCAGAGGAGAAGCCAGCCATAACGCTGCGCCCGTTAGGACTGACAGCCAAGCAGCGGATGAGGCCAGCGCTCACCCCGCTGGCCAGGCGGAACTCGTGCTGCAAGAGAAAGAGTCCAGCTACTGCGGGGCCGAAGATCTAGGGGATCCAGCATTTAGGGGACAAGGCCCAGCTGGCTTTCACGGAGGCATCACAGCTGGCTTTGGGCCAGCCTCGATCCCATCGTTAAGCCCACGGATGGAGGAGGGTGGGTGGCAGAGCGCCAGACTCCCTACCTGTAGTCCTGGCTTCCTGTGATCGATGAACCGCAGCACGGAGTCTGCACCAGCCACAGAGATGCTGTGGTGGGGAGGTGGCATGGTGGTCACAGCTGTGATGGGGACTTTGCTGTCTAGTTCATCAAAAGTCCGGAGAAGCTTGCCTGCAAAAACGTGACGGGGAGGTTACAGCAGTAGATGTATGGAGAAGGCACGCAGCCAGCCTCCAGTTCCGCACTGGTTTTTAACAGGAGCCATCAAAACCCAGTATGGCCCCTCTGTCTTTAAGGACTGGACCAGTTCACTCCAGCCAGCCCTCACCCTTTCCCTTCTTACCTGTGAACTGGTCCCAGATGTGTATGGTCCCATCACAGCTCACCACGTGCTGCGATGCCTCCAGCTGGCTCACATAGAAGACAGACTTCTTGTGCTCGGCGTACGTGAAGCGCGGTGGCACCTCACTGGTGCCATCCCCATAGTTGTACAAAGGCCAAAGGCGGACTGTTTTGTCCTTGCTGCCACTAAGGAAGAAGTCCTCGCTGCTGAGCGGTGCCACGCACTTGATGGCCCCTGAATGCCCTGAGAAACTCTGCAGCTTGATCTGGTGGAAGTGGAAGCGGGGGTCGTGTTGGCTCACCCCGATCTCGTACTGCCAGTAGGCCAGCCAGTTCCCACACAGCATGTGGGTGCTGCGAGGAAGGTCATGCTTCAGGGCATTCTCCTCGCTGGACGAGCTGGGAATAAAGCCATCAGTGCCAGCACTGAGGCAAAGTAAGCCAAGACCCTCGCGCTGCGTGTCCACAGGGACCTGGATGCGGTTCCCTACCAGCACGCTCCCAAAAGTCCCAGAGTGACTGTCCTCGTGGTGGCTAGAGAAGGGCTCGGTCCCTCTCACATCTTGGTCTGAGCCCACCGCACTCAGGGTTTGTTCCAGGCTAACGACCTGCAGGCTCTTGGGGTTCACGTTCTCCAGGTAGAGGCTGGCCAGCTTCTCAACCAGCGAGTGGTTGGGCACAACCGTCCGGATAACATCACCTGAAGAGCGAGAACGTGGCTTCAAGGGAAGGAATTTCCCCATCATCACCCCCTACCATCAGCAACAGAACAAGGGCCAGCACGGGGCTGTGAACACAACGTCCCCCGCAAGCCAGCCACACGCTGCTCCCAGCCAAAGCAGCCTGAAGCCCGATGGGCTCCCAACCCAACAAGCAGACCAAGCCTCGGTGTAGAAGCTGTGGGTTTCCCCCAGCAGCCCTACACCCTCTGACCTCTCCCGAGTTCAGGTGCGGCACGCGTGCGCAGAGCACGGAGCCTTCCACAAATCCCAGGAGATGGTGGCCAAGCCATACCTAGCAAGCAAGAGAAGGGGATGTAGGTGATGTAGGCCATCTCAGGGTTAAACACCTTCTGTAACTCCATCAGCACGGCCGGATCCAGGGCCAGCAGCTTCCCATCCAAAAGGGGCACCTCCATCACCGGCACCTCACAGCTGCTCAGTGACTCCACCGTCAACCCCTGGACAAGAGAAACCAGGAAAATGCCCAAGATCAGATGCTCCCACCACATAATCAAGTACACAAACACAGCCTGGACGCTGCTGCCACCAGTACTGGTGTATGCAGGTATGGCCACCGCACTGGGTACTGGGGGATAAGCAGAAGGACCTCTCCCACATCACTGACCTGGTCTTGCAGCTCCTGCAGCAGCGAGAATGCCCCAAAGAAGTTTCTCACCGTGTCACTCAAATGCTGCTGCACCATCTCCTGCCCAATCCGCAGGCAGATCAAGGCAATTAGGCTGATTGTCTTAACGCACAGGACAATACGGGCCTGGACACCACTGGGGAAACTGAAGAGGACATCCATTACCAGCTTGCCCTCCACATATCCCTTTTTCCCCTCCTCTGCTTCATGCTTTCTACCTTGCCCGGGTTATGAGAAGGCCCCTGAGCAGCAAAAGCTCTACATGCATGCTGTGTACCAGTGCAAGGAGGTGTATATCAGGGCAGAAGCAGCCCCACAACCCCAGGACCATCAAGACCCTCACAGAACCATTTCCAAATCCCCAATTTTGAGTCGTGCTGCTCCTGGCTGAAGGCACGGCAGGCTGCAGCGCTTACCCGATGGCCAGCGACGTGAGGAAGCCTAACACCGGGAGCAGCACCTCCTGGCTGATCTTGGGGAGAATGTCCATCAGCGTGGTGTCCGAGAGACAGACCACGATCTTCTGAGTCAGCGTCACAGCAGCCAGGAGCCCTGCCTCCTTCCGACTGTTCAGCCGGCCACCCCCGGACCCGCCGCCGGGCGCAACCTGCAAAAGGAGTCCTTCAGCGCCAGGGCCACCATCTCCCCAGCGGGACACATCAAGGGTCACCCAAGCTCAGCCTCAAAACCCCTGCACGGTAGCACTGGTCACAGCTCCTGAAAGAGGAACCTGAGCACTGAGCCTCAGCAGCAACTCATGTCTTGTACCTGAAAACTGACGGACAGATGTCAGCACAAGAGATGAGCCTGGAGAGAATAGGGCATGACATCCCCAAGCTCGCAGGCATTCCCCGGAGGGCACCTCCCTGTAGGATGCTCTCGCAGCTGGGAAACTCAGAGGGGAGAGAGAGAACCCCCTGACTGACCCAGACAATCACCAGCCTGGACTCCCCAGAGCATCATTTGCCAGCACAGGAAGAGGGGAAACCTATTACATACACTCAAAGCAAGAATCAGCATCTTCATGCCATGCCATGTTAAGCCTGGATGCACAGACTGCAGGGGACCAGTCCTTGCATGAAATATCCAAGCACAAATTATGGGCAAACCTGCTGCTGACTTCTAGAAATCCATCTGCTAATAATTTCACGAGGCAGAAGAGCACATCCCTTTTTTTCTTGCTGACAACATACAGCAATGCCAAAGAGTTAACAATATCAGCAGCAACTCTAAAAGATTTCTTTCTAGATTGTCCTATTTCCTAACTCCTAGACAAATCAAACATCCAAGAGAAGAGAGCAAATAACAAGAACCACAAACAAATCCCAGTTTCCGCTATATTTCTTGTACACCTGCCATCTTCCAGCTCATCACAGAGGCTCTTCCTCTCACAAACTATCCACTCTGCCAAATCCTGCAAGAAGGATTGGCTTCGTCCTATTTGTGACCCACAAGTCTCATCGCTTTAATATCAGGTTGCCAAATGCTGTTCACAGGGGTATTAATCCCCCCAGTGCCCCCAAGCAATAAGTTTAGTAAAGCAAAGCAGAACAGCTGGAGCTATGATTGCAACTGGGTGGAGAATGATTTTGCTGAAAAATGGGATTTTTTCCCCTGAAAAATCTCCCCTTCCACACTGGAAAAACTGACAATGTCTTTTTGTTTTCTTTAAATGAACAGCTGTGGCCTCTTTTCCTCTATGTTTAAATTATCAAAAAGCTATTGAAGTTTTCCATTTAAACAAGAATCCATAACCAAAGTGTTCATAACCACCAAAAAGGAAGCAATATGAAAAATAAGCCTAACACATTCAAAAACTTTTTTTTTTTGACAAAAAATTGGTTTTTTTCAACCAGCTGCATTACACCCATTTTCTTCTTGCTATTCAGCTATGCATTTCAAGCCGAAAAGTTGGCAAGTCTTGCCAGTATTTTTTATACCGTTGAAAAACCTTTAGCCTCTCCCCAGCTCGTTCCCTATCTACCCACACAGACCTCCAAAAACACTCGCTCCAGCAATCCTGCAGCAGCCCAAGCTGCTCCGCCGGCCCGTTATCACAAGCCCACCCCTGGGCCAGCTCCGTTGCGGCACACTCGCCCCGCAAAGCACAAGAAAACCTTTTTCTCCAGCTTCGCACGTGCCGGCAACACGTCTGATGGGGAAAGCCCCCGGCTGGAACGGGGAAGGAGGGGCTGCGGCACCCCGATGCAGACCCACACTGGCCCAGATGGAGCTCAACTGAGCACGAATTTTTATGCAGGAGGCTCCTGGTGAGGCTGGACTATTTTCTGTGCATCCTCCTTTCGTGCCTGGACACAGTTCTCACCCCCAACACACGCGAGAAGAGGAGAAAAGGCAACACTAACCAGGTAGCTGATGTAGGGCAGGTACTGGTAGGTGAGGACGGGCTCTCCGTACAGGTAGGCCACATGCACAAGACAGGCCAGCACTGGCTTGGACACCTGATCTCCCAGCACTGGCCGTTTTTGGTAGATGTTTCCTGTACTCAGGGGACTGTTCTCATCGTTGCTTGGTACAAACTGCTGCCTGGTAGGGCCTGCCCAGAGACAACATCATGAGCTGAAGGAGCAAGGCTACAGCCAAGCCACCAGGCACCCAGCAGAGTGGTTTGGGGCACAGCCCACCCCAGGGACTGTGGGGTTCGAGGAGCAGACATTACCGATGTAGCAGGACGTGAGCAGACGGAGAAGGTTCCTGGCAATGAAGCGGGACGTGACGGTAGGGCCCAGCTTGGCTGAGAGCCACCTCACCATCTTACAGGCTGTGTCTGCAAAACAAGAACAGTCACAAGGACAGAGCCCAGCACGGCGCAGATTAGCTATCACCCGGCTGCTGCCCGGACCCTGCCGGCCCTGCAGGCAGCTTCCCAGGTCTCAGATCCACATGCTTCAGAGACCTGGCCTTTTACACTGGTTTCGTCGCTGTCCCCAAGCTGGGACCACACACTCGCCCCAAATCTGGACCCACTCCTTGCCACGCTCTCCCCTTCTCCCACTCCCTGCTTTACTGGGTGTTCGCCTCGGCAGAAAGGCTCAGCGCCTGCAGGGTCTTACCCAGGAGTATTGTCTGCTCTTTGTCATCGGAGTGATCCGGCAGCTCCTCTCCCTCTCCATCCTCTGCCTCGCTGCTGTCATCAGCCAGGGTGACATCCACGGAGGCACCAGCATCCACAGCCACTGTCAGCTCTGCATCAACCACGGCATCATCGTGCTCCTCTTCATCACGGTCCTCTTCCTCCTCCTCCGAGTCCTCGCTCTGTTTCAAGTCCTGGCTGCTGTCCATCGACTTCAAGCTGCTCTTGTCCTTCTGGGAATCGCCGTCGGCAGGCCTGTCCTCTCCCAGGGACACTTCGCTGGCGCTGCTCTTGTCGCTCAGCCGCCCGAGGCTGAGCGATTCCTGCTCCTGAGGCTGCAGGGACTCCCCGACATAGAGGCTGCTCTGGAAGTCCTCGCTCTCGGGCAGGTAGGCTTGGTCATGGAAGCTGACACCAGAGGTGTAGTCGAGGAGGTCGACCGCAGCGGAGCCGTGCTCCACGTCCATTTTGATCTCCTCCCCAAACACGCACGACACCGGGCTTTCCCCTCCGCTTTCATCATCTTCCGCCGCGCCGAGGAGGGATTTGCTTTCCTCCCGCGAGCTCTCGATGCCAACGAGAATCTGCAGGATGTGTGGCAGCAAGTTCAGGAGGAAGGACTGCAGCCCCAGGCGCACTATCAACTGGGCGACAAAGCAGTCTGTGTAGAGGTAGAACCTGCCGTGGCGGTAGCAGGGGGTCTCATACGCTCCAATCAATGGCTTGAGCAAGTATTTATTGGCATTCTTTGGACCTAGGGATTTAGCTATAGGTTCAAAGAGATACCACGCTGCGTAGACAGCGGTATTCTCCTCGGACATCAGAGATAATATGAAGGGCAGAAGGATCTCCAAGCCTTCAGGAGTGATTTCAGAAAGGATTCCCTCCAGCTGCTGCCACAGCTGGAAAACAAGTTCCCGGCCCTGACCTTCATCCTCTATCTTCTTTGCCTGATAAGTGAAAATGAATTTGTGCAGGGCTGGGAAGTACGTGGGGAAGGGGACAATAGAGCTGAAGGGACTGAGGAGCTGCGTGGGACAGGGCGGGGGGAGGCCCTGGGAGATGGGTTGGTATTCAAACAACTGCACCGTGCCCTTGCCCAGCCTGGTCTTCAGAAGCTTCTCCACCGGCACGCTCAGCTGCAGCAGGACGTGCAGCACGTGCTGGAGCGGGGCCGGGATCTCCTTGGGATGGTAGCGACACAGATTACGCACCATCAGGAACCGCTCCAACAGGGATGCGTCAGGCTTCGAAGGACGAATCCTTGGTGCAAATATAATCTCAGCTACCAGAATGCCCAAAGCTTGCATGTCCCTCTGGAAGAGGTCCGAGAGACCCAGGGGCGGCTCCTCCCACGGCTGCTCCATTAGCTGCATCTCACTGCTTAAGCCTTTAACCAAGAAATTGTCCAATTTCTCCAGTTCTTCCAGGGCCTGGAGCGGATTGAAGCCTTCAGGAAGCGTGATCTTCATGTCAACCTGATCCACACCGCCGGTCTTGCTCCGGCGGAGAGGTCGGACACCTGAGGTTTTGCCTTCGGTGGCATAAGCAGGGAGGGTGGAGGGCTGTGCCGAAGGCACAGTGGCACAGGGCTGATCAGCAGCTTTACTAGTAGCAGAAATCGAATCCAGGGCTTCTGTGCCTTGCTCTAAATCATCCTCACCAGCGATGGGTTTCTCCCCAGACCAGGTGGTTTCACTGGGAGTAGCCTCCAGCACCAGCCCATTAACTGCATCCGTCACCTGGCCTTGGATATCCTCCAAAAACACAGTCTCCCTGATGTTCTGGAGAAGAGGCCGGGCAATGGCTGGAGCTTCAGCAGGCGTGTAGGCAGGTCCCACCATGCGCCTGGGATGTGGCTGGTCAAAGAGCTGCACAACCCCGTAAGTCGTCAGATGCGTGTGGTTGTCTACTAGATGGAGGCAGACGTTCTTCTCCTTGACAGCATCCTTCCCCAGCAGCTTGTACCCAAAAGTGAGATCAATCCAGTGGTGGAGGTCCTGAGAAACTTCCCGGCTCTCGAGCAGCATGCGGTGGACTTCGATGAACTCCTCGTAGGAGCTACACCAAGATGGCACGTCCAGGTCAGGCATGTCCGGGTGGATGGAT